TGAATGCAACTGTTCAGTGCAAGTCGTTCGCAGGACGGAAAGCCTGTTTTAACCAGGTCTGTAGACAACTAGATCCAGTGAAGTGACAGCTAATAATTTGTTCCTGGAATTGGTGATTGCTGTACATATCTGCTCTAGGAGCTTGGAAAACTAGAGTTGACTTTCTCAATCTATGCTTAAAGTACTGCTAAGGGCAGCAGAAATGGCCAACTATCACCCTGCTGATTTCCTTCTCCACTTAAGGAAGAGAGAAGATGGTGGCACCTATTTTTTGTTTCCAGTTTGCTTTGTTTTACGCTTTGCATTAGCAAGATTTAAGTTTTCTTCTGGATAGGGGCAAATAAAGTATATCAAATATACGTTCTCCAATAACACTGTGATCATACACCACCATTTCATAAAGTATTAGACGAACCTAGTTTTCTGGGTTTTGGAAAAGCATAGTTAAAATACATTAATCTGAGAAATTAATGTAGATTAGCTTTCCCTTGTAGTAGTTTTTTAATAGGTTGTCTTCTTATCACTAGTAATATGTCTTCCTTTAAAGAGTTCTGGATGTGTGCAGGGGGGTGGGAGCTGCATGTCCTAGCCTATTTTGGTTACTAATCAGTGTCTATATACAGCTGCAGGTAGTAACTTTCAAGATTTACATGAAATCAGGTTTTTGAACATGAGGTTTTACCTAAATCAGGAGCTGGCTCAGAATTTGTCCATTTGTCACCCAGAGTTGTGCCTGGGGCTGTATATCTGCTCTCAGCAGTGGTCAGACTGGCAGGGCCAGTTACTGTCGGGTGTGCGAAATGAGCCGGCTGATGTGGCAGGAGAGGGAGGGCTTGTTTCAGCTCTGCACCTTTGGTATTCACAGGCAGGAGGGCTTGATGGAGCCGACTGGCTTTGGACCGTGGAAGCGTACAGCCACAGTGTGCAGTCCCCACCGTGTTCAGTCCTCGCAGCAGCTTTGTCATCACAGTGGTAGAGGATTTTTTGTTTGTGGTTAGTGGCTTTAATGGTTCTATTGCTACTTTCAGTGCTGAGTGTCATGATGCAAACGTGTTTGTGACACGGCACTGCGTGCATCTACGGTCACGGCTGCAGTGCGGCCTGTGCGGAGCTGTGTTACAAAGAGCCCTATGCCTTGTCACCTCCTTCCCTGCGTCTGGGACCTGGGGACAGGCTGTGATCCAGGGTGGGAGGGAGTGTGGCAGGGGCTTGTTGTGCTCATCATCTCCCTGCACCTTGCGCTGCCTTCTATTGCAGCCAGCCCAGACTCCAGCCCTCTGGCACAGGGACCCTCGCACAGTCCCCCAGCTTCTGGCACTTCAGCTGAGGAAGAAGAGGCCAGGTTCCTCACCAAACAACCCAACACTCAACTGCCCTCACAGTCCCTGTCCCAGAAACGTGCAGATTCTCACTACCTAAACTGGAACTTGCTGATGCACCTCAGCACTGCAGGCCAAGAGCCTCCACGGTGGCCCCGAGCCTCCTGTTGGCACCATGGGTGCTGCCAGGCTGTTTCCCAAACAAGAGCCAGCACTGGCAGCCCCAGGTGAAATGCTGGTGTCACTCCGTGGGGACATGCTGGGTGGCACTGGAGCTGAACCTGGGCTGGGGAGGGGAAAGCACCATGGGAGCTGCCTTGGAGCTGAGGCTGCCCTGCCAGGGGGGAGCAGCGAACCCAGGATGTGGGGCAGGCAAGGGGGTCCTCGTGGGTCCCTTCTCCCGCATTGGGGCTCTAGGAGGGACTTCAGACACACACAAAGGGGTTGATTGCACAAACACTTTAGGCGTCAAAACTCCTGACTCTACATTAACAGGCACATTGATAGAGTTTAAATTATTATTTTGATATAGTTTACATTAATTTTGTATTTTTCTTAGCAAAAAACATTTAGTTTAACTTGAATAAGTTAAACAGAATAAATTTTCCTGTTGAAGAAGGCTGTCATTCCAGTACTCTCTTGCGTGTCTGGAAGCCAAGCCCACCAGGGGCTTCGCGGGTGGCATCAGGGAAGGGCCAGTTCTTCAGGGTCTGGAAGTGCTTTAGATGCACCAGCACCTGAGGCAGCGGGGGGTCCAAGCACAGCTGCTTCTTCTTGGTGACCAGGCTGCTGGGAGAAAACCCACCTTGGGGCCCTTGGCCAGGGCAGTGGGGCGCCTGTGCCGTGGGGTGCCAGGGCAGTGCCCCGGGTGTCCCCAGCCGTGTCCCGGTCCCCCACC